GCGGGGCCCCCCCCCCCCCCCCCCCCTTTAGCATGTAGTGCCCTCAATTCCAGGGGCTCTCTCAGCCAGGGTCCCGCTTACGGCCCCTTATCACCAGGCCGGTGTGTTCCAAAGCTGCTTTTTTGGCCAGGGATGGGTGTCTGCCAGATCCTGCGAGGCAGCGTTCTGTGAGGTGAACAGGTCCCTCCCCAATGGGCCATGGGCGAACCTAGGGCTAAGGAAGACAAGCCCCGCCCCTTTTGTCTGAGACCCCGCCCATTGCCCCTGTGGAAACCAAGTCTCCCCCCCTCCCCCTCCCCCGTAGGAGGCTCTGGAAGGCTGGAGGCAATGTGTGGGCAGGGGTGGCCTGGCAGTTTAGGAAGACATTGCATTCCCCTGACTCTACTACTCACCACCTGTGTCCCTCCCTGTTCTGGCTTTCTCCTCCGGCCACAGGCAATGCAAGAATCAATGGGGCAGGGGCACTGTGAGGTCACAGCCCAGCGGGCTGAACTCCATCTCCATTTACCCCTCAGCTTTCACCAGGAACACAGGGAGAAGTTGAGGCAGAGATGGAGGCCAATGGGATTCTCCAGGAAGAAAGCAGGAGGATGGGTGCTGGTGCTGGGGGTGATGGGAGGAGTTGCATTTGGCACTGCATGCTGCAGCACGGCCACTGGTATCAAGCCGTGGAGGGGGAGAGACGCAAGTCTCCTCCATCACGTCCCTAGAGAAGCGAGAGGGACGTTCCCTGCGCTGGGCTAGTGATCGCCATGAGTTCAGCTCTCACCTCTGCTGTCTGGTTTCCCCCTTACAGATGGAGGCCAGGTGCCTAAGTCTGAGCTCCTGCTCCATGTCCCAATGAACAGTGAGATGACATGCGGTCACAGCAAGCACGCTCAGGCATAAACCCATGTAGACTCAGGGTAACGTGGGAGATCCACATCTTAGCTGCTCCAGTGCACTGCCTTTCAGGTAGGACAGGCAGTTTCTAACCAATAAGCCACCCTCTTCTCCCTAAGCCAGCGCTGGGCCCCAGGGTTCCTCATGTCTCCAGTGATCCAGGTGTCGATCACCCAGTTGTCGGCCCTTGAGTTGGTGAACTCGAGTTCTAAGCTAGGGGTGTGACCGGCCAAGCTTCCAGTCTGCCTGTTGACTTGTGTGAGAGGAAGTTACGTTTCTATGTGACAGATTTTAATGTTTCGATTTTGTTTGTGTGGGAAAGCAACTCGCTTGTTTTAATTGGTACGCTGTGCAAACAGCCTGGCACGGCAGAACTATTATAATCTGTACACGAGGGCTTGACTGGTGGGAAATACAGGGGTTCCCCATTTCAGTCCTTTGTCTTCTCCTCCTGTCCCTCTCTGACCCAGAGTTCCCATCCACTGAAGTACATCCAGTCCTGTACAACAATAACCACCACCCTGACATGTTGCACCTCCATATTCTTTATGGAAATAGGTTTTTGAATATGAATATGCATCACTCAAATAGGCTTTATGCAAAATGGGGCATGTAACCTGTCATTATAATCCGCTGACTGTGTATATTCTATTCGTGTGCATATATCTCTCTTGTCTGTGAAGTTAGTGTATCAATTCTTCTATGTCCGTTGCGTCTGGGTCTGATTTGCCTGTGCCAACCTCGAGCTCACATGGGTTTCTCTTTCTGTTTCATGCTTTGAGGTTAGATTTTTCTCATTCATACTGGCTACGTCTAGACTGGCATGATTTTCCAGAAATGCTTTTAACGGAAAGGTTTTCCGTTAAAAGCATTTTCGGAAAAGAGCATCTAGATTGGCACAGACGCTTTTCCGCAAAAGTACTTTTTGTGGAAAAGCGTCTGTGCCAATCTAAACATGCTTTTCCACAAAAAAGCCCTGATTGCCATTTCACGATCGGGGCTTTTTTGTGCAAAACAAATCTGAGCTGTCTACACTGACCCTTTTGCACAAAAGCTTTGCGCAAAAGTACTTTTGCCCAAAAGTACTTTTGCCCAAACGAGAGCAGCATTGTATTTCCGCAAGAAGCACTAATTTCAGACACTAGAAAGTCAGTGTTCTTGCGGAAATTCAAGCGGCCAGTGTAGACAGCTGGCAAGTTTTTCCGTAAAAGCAGCTGCTTTTGTGGAAACCGAGTGCCCACCACAGCCACATGCATCGCCTGCGTTCTCCCAGGGAACTCTCTCTCCACAACTAAATGAGGCTTTTCAGCCTATGAGACCGCAGGATTTGGGGGCTGTTGTGCTGAGCATAGTGATATACAAAGTGACTTGGACACAAACAGCTGTGGAATCAGACAACACACAACACTAGGATCTGATTAATCCCAGGATCCTTTTTATTTCAAAAGTTTGTTCCATTTTTGTGACTCTGTGTTCCCTTCTTTCTCCCAGCTGGTGGACCTTGATAAACATTTTAATGCTCTTCAATAGCAACACACAGGCACCTGGAAATGGTGGGCTTTCAAGTGGCTCTTTTCAGCTCTTGGAATCCTGCTGTACAAATGGAGAGTCAAACGGCTGCTGTGACTTTCTTGGAACTCGTGTGTGTTTTGAAGGAGCAGGAATAGTAGCAGAGGCGTTAGGACCAGATTGTGTGTCCAACGACATTAATGGAAAGACTGTCCTTAGGATTTATGGGGTCCTGTGCAGTATTATGTATCTGGTGCCCCTATGGCTGATGGCAGCTGGGGACAACAATGGTTTTTGAGAGATGTGATTTCGTAGTCCCTCTTAAAGCACCTTTTAAGCTAAGCTCTTGTAGATTAACACAGTAAATTCAGAAACTGACCGTCTGTCCCTGGGGTAGGCAAATGCCTGTGAGATGGCTTCATCACCACTGGCCTGGCTCTTTCACAGGGTCTGTGTACTGCTCTCAGGCCTGGCAGGTGTTTTCACCTTTCCGTTAGCTGGAGCCAAAGAACAGGGACAGGAAGAGGCACCGCCTGCTGAAGATCTCACCCCTTCCAGGGTGTGAAGCTGCCCACACACCTAGCTCGGGAGCCAGCATAAGCTGTCGGCCTCCCTGGCAAAAGCTACATTCCCCACCTTCTCTGTCCTGTCTCTTCCTTCCCTGAGTGCGTCTGATTTGTCCAGAGCAGAAAAGTGACGATTATTTATTCCCTGTTTAGAGCTAAACAAGAGCCGTGGCCTTTTCTTCATCACCAAGAAGCACTGTCTGATGGAATGAGAGACTTTAACCAATGTGTGTCTCCTAAAAGGGACCTGGCGAGGTTTTGCATTGCCTAGACCAGGGGTCTCCAAACTTTTCAGCCCGAGGGCCGCATTAACTATCAAACAGCAGTTCGGGGGCCGACTACACACTTGAGGTCCAAATAAAAAACAATCAAAACATGGATGTTGTTTTTAATTATTTATTTAATATTATTTTATTCAGTTATTATTTAATAACACATTGATACACTACACGTGAACACCTGTATTAGTGTGAATGGTGAAATTGTTTCCTGGATGCCAAAATAGCAGACATTTCTGGCTTTGCGAATCCGTTTCTCCCGGAAGGGGGGGAGGGGCTTTTCCCCCTGCTCTCCCCTTCCTCTGCACGCTGTCCTCCCCTCCTGCTTGCCACCGCTCACTCCTTTCCCCCCCCCTGGGCGGAAGGGGTCACCTTTTTAAAGTTCCCGCCGGGGTTCACGTTCCCCCGCACGTCGTCGGGCGGGCGTTACCACCACCGCCCATCCTGCCCCCTGATTGGCCGGCTGCCCTGTCAGTCTGGGCGGGGGAACGCCGCCCGTGCTAACCCCCGCCCCCTGCGCCGTTTGCCGCCGCGCGGCCGCTTGTCAGCAGAGCGGCCCGCTTCTCCTGCCCCGGCGCGGCGTGAGTACACGCCGCACACCCCTGACAGGGCCCCCCCCTGCGGCAAGAAGGGCCCGTTCGGCGGCGCCCCAGGGACGGTCTCCACGGGCCGGATGAGAGGGCCTCGCGGGCCGCAGTTTGGAGACCCCTGGCCTAGACAGTCGGTCTCAGTGGCTGTGTTCTTTGCCTCCTGTGGATTATTTTCCTTGGGTATTTCAGTTAATAAACTTCTGACCTTTGGTATGAATTGTACGATGTGTTTGCCATGGTACTGAGTTCTCTGCATACCAAACAGTGGACTTGTTTAACACTGGACAGTGATTGGGTGTTAACACCATTAGCCCGCCTGTTCCATCTAACTGAATACAGCAGGGCCTGGGAAGGGAGCTAACAAACTTACTTTCACTTGGTCCCTAAACCTGAACTGGAATCGGGGAATTCAGGGTCCGGTCCACTTTGCCTGCTCAGGAGAGACCCAGCATGGGAATTATTGGAAACCCTGCAGATCAGTTCAGTTCTGTTCAGTGCTCCGGTTTAATCAGCACCTTGTTTCCAGTTGCTAACAAGATGGGCCTGGAACCATGGGCGATGGGTGACCCCATGGGTTTGGGAGGCAAGACCCCCAGCCTCCCCCTCCCCCCGCTGTGGCCTGCTGGCCCTTGCCCCCTCCCTGCCTCAGGTAGGGTTGCCAGGTGTCTGGTTTTGAAGCGGGTGGTCCAGTATTTAAGCTTTCTGTTTGGGAAACAAATTAAGAAATAGAACTGTCCGGTATTTTCTAACTCAGATGGAATGCGGGTTGTGGTGTCATGTCAAGTGTGTCTGGTATTTTTGTTGAAACTATCTGGCAGCCCTAGCCCCAGGGTAATGCCCTGCACTGGCCCCCGGCTCCAGAGAGCTGGCGGGTAGCACGGCCCCAGCCTCCCCTAGCTTCAGAGGGTTGGCCAACATGGATGGCTCAAGATCGGAGCTGCGCCGCCCACACCCCTGACCAGCAAGGCCCTCCCTGCAGCCGAGCCACCAGCCGCAGCACTAGATGGCTGGAGTGGCCCTAGTGTCGGGACAGTGGTCCAGCCTGTGGAATCACAGCAGCAAGCAGGGGAATGGGTGGAGCATAGGCAGGGCCCAGTGTGGGGGCAGGGGGAGCCTGGAGCCTCCTACTGAACAGATTTACTCCGGGCTATATGAAAGTCACTTGTAAAGAATAGGCTGGACCTCTCTGGTCTGGCACCCTTAGGACCTGACTGGTCCCAGACAAGGGAGTTTGCTGGCCCAGGGAAGTTCATGCCTCTGGGCTCTCGGGGAGTGCCAGCTCCCTTCCCTAGCCCCTGGGGCCTGCTGCTCATGGCCCCACCGTGGGCTCCACTCCCATAAGCTCTGTTGCCTGGCTTTGCTCTCAGCTGCCAGCAGCCTCTGCCCCTGGTGCTCTCTGGACCAGGGAGGTTCAGCCTGTATCACTAACTTGGTAGCTGTTTTAAACTCTTGTTTGTTGGGTGCTAGTTCTCTTTAAAAACCAGGAGTAGGAAGAGAGAGCTGCATCGGCAATTAGCTCTTACCTTTGTTAATGAATAGAGAAATGTCAACACACACTGGCTTGGATAAAGTGGGTTATGCCCACATTTCCTACTGACATATTGAGACTGGACTATGTAAACAAAATGAGCCATAGAATTCCAGCTGAGCCTTAAAAAACACCACCCAGACACTTCCATTTTGAAAAGTGGTGGGTTTTCATTCACATAAGCTAGGTATGTGTCATTAAGCAAAAATAATCAGTAATGCTCATCCAGTTTAAGTAGGGATTGTTTTGTTTTATTAACCATAGACCTTACAGCTGGAGGGGTTATTGTAATATTGGGCTCATGCCAAAGAAGGATTATTCTTTTGGCTTCATGTGATAGGGCTTTAATGGCACAGGAAAGTATTTTGCATGCTCAGGTATAATTTAATCACCTTGCACTGTGTGTGTGTGTGTGTGTGTGTGTGTAATTTAATCACCTTGCGCGCTCTGTCTGTGTGTATAATTTAATCACCTTGCGCGCTCTCTGTGTGTGTGTGTGTGTGTGTGTGTGTGTGTAAAAGTAAAATCAATAAGTATAAAACCCAAACATAGAAGCCCTTCTCTATTTATCAGTCAAAGTCCAAAGCAAAGTTGTAAGGCGTGGCTCATGCCTATCAGGTCTGGGGAGTGAAGAAGGCAACCCTATCTATCATTCTTCTTTCAACAACAAGGCTCTTTCCAAAGATCTTTCCTTCCTGACTCCCTGCTGGATTAAGTTCTCAACTTCTTACAGTCCCTTTGTAGGTGCTGGGGAGGGAAAGAATAAATCTCCCCTCCCCCCAGCTCCAGCCTTAAATAGAGTCTATATCAACCCCCCATTATATGCTTCATCCAAAATAAAAGTATAATAAATTAGGTATTAGTTCCTTGAATCTAATTATGAGAAGTAAAATGCAGAGAACCCCAGCTACCGGGCTGTTGCCTATGATCCTTCCTTGTTGTTTTCAGAGTCATAGGATTACAGAGAGAATGCCTCTAAACCAGATTAGATAAAGGGTGATTGGCAAGACTTGAAATAAATGAAAACAAGTTCTTGCAAACGCTAACTAAAGGTCACGCTTCCTGTTAGATGGTATCTAGCTGTATGGCTTTAGTCCAGGGCCAGGTCTCTCCAGAAGTGTGTTATCTTGCGGTCAGTGAAATAGGTGAACATACAGCCTTAGGACCTCAGAAGGTGACCCGAGTGAAGAGTCTCCCGGATTTATCCGTGATTGTCAATTATTAACCTACTTTCACCAGTCACGGGGCTGTGGCTCACCTGCACCCTTGCTTCAGCCCGGGCTCTGTGGCAACCTGGAATGATGCCGGCCCAGCCGGCAAGCAGCCAGACAGTTAACAGTCCTTCCTTTGCTGGACATGTCATGGGACTCCACTGGTGATATCATTGCCATTCCCCAAACTTGCTGTGATTCCTGGAGCTTTCGTGCCTGGTGTTTAAACTGCTGATTCTTTCACCCCGGGAGCCGTGCCCTCAAAAGGGCTTTGCCAGCAGGGTGGTGGGAATGTATGGGTGTATTGTTGTGTATTTGTTCTTCTCAGCGTGCAACGCACCATCAAGCCACAGCCCAGAGCACGCAACCCAGGGGTGTCATGAGCCAGTGATCTTTCCCCATGTTTTGCTGTCTTCACACAGCCTAGAGGAGGGTCCCACACCCCGTCCTGTCCAGTCAGCCACACCCTCAAACCACACTCCAGGGCCTCCCGAGCAGCTGTTGTACATAAGGAGAGTGGACAAGAATGTAACACAGACCCCTAACTGAACGGCTACGTCTAGACTGGCATGATTTTCTGGAAATGCTTTTAACAGAAAAGTTTTCCGTTAAAAGCATTTTCGGAAAAGCGTGTCTAGATTGGCACGGACACTTTTTGCGGAAAAGGGTCTGTGGCCAAGCTAGATGCACTTTTCCACAAAAAAGCCCCGATCGCCATTTTCACGATTGGGGCTTTTTTGCGGAAAACAAATCTCAGCTGGCTCTTTTGTGCAAAAGTTGTGCCCGAACGGGAGCAGTATAGTATTTCTGCAAGAAGCACTGATTTCTTACAGTGGGAAGTCAGTGCTTTTGTGGAAATTCAGGCGGCCAGTGTAGACAGCTGGCAAGTTTTTCCGGATAAGCAGCTGATTTTTCCGGAAAAACTGGCCAGTCTAGACACAGCCTCTGGGTGTCAACCTCTTTCACCGCATGACCTCCCTTCCTGATTGGGATACCCCTTCCCAACCCCCCTTCTTCCCTCTGGGAAGCCCTGAGTGCAAGTAAATGCTCCTCGCTTCCATTATTTCCTCTCCCTCTTGTTAAAGAGAATTCCACCTCTACTGAGCCCTGGGGCTATGTGCATGTCTGCAATGCTGAGAAGTGGCTCTTTGAGCCTATGGTGCTGGATGTCGCATGAACTCCCATCAGCTGGAAGCCCAGTAAATGATTAACATTACCTGCCCAGAGGGCAGGACTGGTTCTGGTTATAAAGGAGAGGCATCACAGGCATCCCATCACTGCAATGCTGATCCAGGCTTCCTGGCCTGGTTGATGCTTTTGTAAATTGCAGGGTATGCTCTCCCCAGCGGGCTGCATGTTGCATACCGTCCATCGACATGAACTGGGCTTCTTTGTACACTTCATGGCTGGACGACCTGCGATCCTCGTGGACTCGTTCAGCTACAGCCGTTTCACCGCTCACAATGGAGGCTTTGTGCGGGGTCAGACAAAACCGTAATCGAGACTTTGTGCAGCCTCCAGGAGCCCTGCACGCTTCACGTGCGCCCCCGGGATAGGCTGGACTTTTGCTGCAGTCGTTTGCAATTCAGGGTTTGCATTCTGCTGGGGTTGTGTGTTTATGACTGTTGGAAATGGCTTGTGAAGGGGCTGCAGAGGCTAAGCCACGGGAGGGGGGATTAGGATACGGGTGAAAGAGATCTCATAACTTGGCATTTCATTGCTTTTA